CCTACAGGGAGACAAATAAAAAAAAAACAACAAAAGGTATCAGTTCCATTTTTTTAACCTTACTAGGCTGTAAATACCAAGGATTATCTCTGAGCAGTGCTACCACCTTCCTTCACCTCAAAAGAGAAAACTTTGTGGTCTTATCTGTGAAAAAAAAATAGAACGGTGTTTTTCTCCCTGCTACGTGAGGTTAATGGTGTGACTGGCAAAGAGTTAGTCACAGCTTGATGATGTTCCTCTAGTGGGAGATTGAATCATATGTTCATGTTTCCCCAATTTAAAAATGTTCTTTGGCATCTCCAGTCACTGACTTCTCCTAATTCCCTGCTTTGCTCTTGGGCTCTTGTGTGGTTTCGGGTGTCTGTCACTGCTTAGCTTTTTTTGTAGGTGCACTTCTGCATTATAATTTAATTCTTTGGACCCACCAGGACATTTGTACCATTTCTGTACGACGGTTCTCTGGACAGCGAAAAGAACAACCCCATTTTCCTCCAGCTATTTACTTTCTGTTACAGTGTAGTGACAGTCACAGGAATATGGATCAGGCAGCATCCTCAGCAGTAGTCAGCTCTGAACAGAAAACCTGGAAGACTGTAAAATTTTGAAGTATTTTCTTGTGTAACACATATGTCACAGGACAGTCATCAGTACACAATTAAAAAGCAAAAGATTTGTCTTCTCAGCTTTGAACAGCCAGGAAGCTCTCAAGAGTAGAATGGGGGAGCATGAGATCATGATGGAATACAGGGCAAGAGAGCGAGTTCTTAAACTCTCACTAGTGGTCTGGAGAAGTGCACATTCATCTACGTACACAGACATAAAATTAAATACCACCTATGTTAACATCTGCAGTTGGTACAGGAGTTGGAGGGGGGAGGTAGATCATGGAGAAGAGGAAGCAGTGAGAAGGATTTTCAACACCTTGCAAATAACATTCTGGTTTTGGATAACATTCACAAAACTTTGTTCCGTAGAGCTGTGAGCCCAAACAGCCTTTACACAGAGAGAGCTCTCCTAGCTTTGACAAACGGTTGAGGTTGTCACTAAAAGAGCAATTCAGTAAGGTCTGGTAGCTGCAGTCAGTGCAGTCCTGAATTGTATCACAAACCCTATATATCTTTGTATGTGTTGACAAGCCTAATCATGATAACCGTATCAGAGTCTGAAAGTATTTAAAGGCCAGAAAGAGCTGCAGCAGTACCTTGAGGTATTTACAGCTCCATCACTTTTGATTATCAAACCAGAAACAAGGGCTGGGTTGAATACAGGCAGAGAAAGTACATTTTCAGGAAGAGACCATACCAGTAGCTCTTTCAGCTACTGGAGAATCATAGAATCAACCAGGTTGGAAGAGACCTCAAAGATGATTGAGTCCAATCCTACCACCAGTACTAGACCATGGCACTAAGTGCCACATCCAGTCTCGTCTTGAAAACCTCCAGGGATGGTGAATCCACCACCTCCCCGGGCAGCTCATTCCAATGCCTGATTACTCTCTCCATAAAAAATCTCTTCCTAATATCCAACCTAAACCTCCCCTGGCAGAGCTTGAGTCTGTGCCCTCTTGTTCTACTGCTGGCTGGGAGAAGAGACCAACCCCACCTGACTACAATCTCCTTTCAGGGAGTTGTAGAGGGTGATAAGGTCTCCCCCTTCACTAGCCTCGTTGCTCTTCCCTGGACCTGCTCCAGCACCTCAATATCCTTCCTGAACTGAGGGGCCCAGAACTGTACAGACATGATTCTGTAAGTCTGTTTGAAATCATCACTTCTGTCTAATTCTTCCAGCAACAGATGCTGATAAAGTCAAGTGAGAAAATCACAACTTTAACAGCGATGTTAACCTGGATAAAATACTACTGGAGCGGGTACAGCATCTCACTCGATGCCTCCACACAATGTTCAAATATCTTCCAAGACAGATACTTGGGAAGTGAGATAGGTATTTGATACCACTTCTGGGATAATACAGCAATTTGCATCCCTTTGGGAGTATGTGGGCAATATTCTGAATGGATATAGTTGGACAAAATTTAACCCTGCTCTCCCTTTTGAAGAGGAAGATTTTACAATTACTATAATGCTGCTGAGCCAGAGAAGTGATTGTAGCACTCCTCTTCAGCAGTGCATAAGCTATCTAGAATGCTGTCTGAAAAGTTGGTATCAGGGAAAACAGTAAGTTTAAAGGAAACTTTCAGGTTAGGATCCCTGTGGCAACACAGCAGTGGCACCTGACATGCCCTGCATCCCCATGTACTGCAAGCAGCCGTGTGTGCACCAGGGTTTGCATTTTTAGGGCAAGTCACAGTACCCAAATGGTCATTTGGCCTCCTGAAAGGAAAAGCAGCAAAGACTTGCCATGTTCCACGTCTGTATTTAATCAGACAATTGGCAGAGCCCATTTCTATATGTCCTGTGAGATTCCCCAAGATGCCCCATGAAATTTGAGTGTATTGTTCAAGAGCATTCACAGCTGACCACAGCAATCATCAGCCTGCAGAGAAAGCTCTGCATGAGGAAATGGAAATTTGTAAAATGCAGCTCCATTTCCTCGGCTGCCACTGAAGACTTTCCCTCAAACTTACATTATTAAGTGCAGTACTTAGTAAGAACTGGAATTTTAAAAAGCATAAAATGAGATGGCTCTCAAATGGGGAGTAATGCATCTTTATCTTTTAGGAGCATGAAAACCTCCATAAAATTGTGCTGGGAATATAGAAACAAACATTGCTTGTGTATAGTCTCTGCACTGCCATGGGACTTCAGCACTGGTTTAAAAATCCCTTTCTTAAGAGCTGTGTTTTCTTGAGTCTGGCCCACAGAAAGAAAAACTCAGTGGCTCAAATGTCTTAAATCATACATTTCCTGAGAGGAAAAAATATCAGCTGAAAACCTACATGTTATGGTCATTTAACATATTTTGTTAAGCTACAGTCAGTTGTAGTGTTCACTGATAATGGCTATTACACATGAAAAGCATTACACTGTATTTAAACAATACACAAAAACAATAAACAAACAATTTAAACCGAATCTCAGTTCTTACGTATTTGAATTTTGGTTGCTGGAACAGAACATATTTTCATGGTTTTTTTATGTTAAGTGTGGAATTTTTTTTAAAATAAATAAAGCTGTGTAACCACAAACCAACACATACACTTGGTTGAAATATGTTAAGGGCTGGTTAAAATACTGTTCAAATTCACCCTGGTTGCAGTATTTTGTAGTCAGAAAATATTATGCACAATCTCCCATTTACACCCAACTTCATTTTAAGGTTCATCTAGTTAATTTAGGCCTTAAATTAGCATTAAGTATATTTGTAAAATAGTTTGCAGTAAGAGAGATTTTTGTAGAACAAAGTTTTTAATAATCGTTCCAGTGTAACTGTTCAGGAAGCTTACAGTGCAGATCCTCAGCTTCCCACAAAGCTCACCAGCCACTCTCTGTGAATGCCTCGCTTTGGTATTTTGAAGGCAGGTACATCTCTCACTCCTTTGCATTACCCACAGTTCTATGTATTGTTTTCATTTGCAGTTCTTTCCATATGGAGATGCTTCAAAGTTTGCCCAGCACGCCTTCCGAACCTTCGATAAAAATGGAGATGGGACCATCGACTTCAGAGAGTTCATTTGTGCCCTGTCCATCACCTCACGAGGCAGTTTTGAGCAAAAGCTGAACTGGGCCTTCAACATGTACGACTTGGATGGCGATGGTAAAATTACAAGAGTGGAAATGTTGGAAATTATAGAGGTGAGATCAATATGACATTCAAAAATACCATGTATGAATATCAATAAAATTTGATTCCTTGTTCACACAGACTTTACATTTTCTGTGCACAGGAGGCTGTACTGTGTGGTTAAGAGTGTGCATTACATACATTCATCTTACACCAACTCATGCCTAAGTGGTACAAGCAGACTAACATGTTAATAGATGTAATCTTGGAGAATTGCAGAGAGCACATATGTGCATATAAGCTTTTAAATATCCAGAGATTTTTCTTTCCTGATGAATGGATTAACCGTAAGAACAGCCCAGCACAGGATTTACAAAGCCCATCTCAAAGTCACTTGACACCCACGAAATTACTGGATTGTAGCTCAAGTAGCTGAAACCTTACTGGAGATAAACTTCAGATGATTACAGAAATTTACAGGGATAACAACACGCTATTTTAAGTGAGCTTTCACAGATGGGCTTTAAGATGACCACAACATGTAAGAGGAAGGATAAAGTTTACTGCCTTCGTCATCTGCCAGCTACTCACCACAGTAGTTAATACCAGATTGTGCTCCCATGTACACACAGAAACCTATTAAAAGATGATGACTTCTAAAACTATTCAGAATTTATGTGAAACATTTCAACTACAAACCTACATCTAAAGAAAGTAAAATATATTCTTCCTTGTTTTAAGTATCTGGACGTTGCCTGTTTCTCTAAAGATTTTTTCGTATATTTTGCAGAATCTAATAATTTTATTGTTATAATATATTTCCAGAATCTGATCACATTAAAAAATTAGACTGAATTTTATGTTGAATTTTCCATTTGGTTTCCTTCCAAAGGCCATCTACAAAATGGTGGGCACTGTGATAATGATGAAAATGAATGAGGATGGTCTGACGCCTGAGCAACGGGTAGACAAGATCTTCAGTAAGATGGATAAGAACAAAGACGACCAGATCACACTGGATGAATTCAAAGAAGCTGCAAAGAGTGATCCGTCCATTGTATTACTCCTGCAGTGTGACATTCAAAAATGAGCTCGTGTACAACGCATCATAGACTGCACAGAAGTTTAATGTTCCATTCAGTTTGCAGCTATTTCCACACACACAAAAATTTGCTTGGACTACCTATAAATGGACTTGCTTCTTGTGTTTGAAACACTTGTGTGCATGAGAATGTCATTTGCTAAAGAATTTTAAAAGTATATATTATAAAAATAAACTGCCACAACGTGATGTGTGCAATGTCATTTCATAACGACCCTCTTCCTCTGAAGCCTGTGCAGCAGGCCTGTGCTGCAGTGAATTATATTATTTATTGTTCATGTTTTACTGATGCTAGCTCTGTGTCTCCTAGACTGAGTAATGTTAGTGACACTGAATTCCCATGGTAATGTTAACTGTTTATTATAAATCATGTCACCATTCTGCTGTAAACTAGTACTGGACAGACAGAGGGGAAGAGCTCGTCGGCCCCCGAGTCTGATCCACACATGTGCTTGTATTGTCAGTGGATATAAATGTACTTCATTTGCATGCCTTTTAGGTTTGCCTTAATTCTTACCTCATTTGCATCCCTTCAATCTGGAAAGAGCTATGTCAGAGGAATGCAGTATATTAAACAAAAAAAAAAGAAAAAAAAAA